AAATAACAAATTATATTTAATAATTATTCTTTTTAAARGTATACAATACTTATGTATACAAATTTGTTGCAGGTTATGCAGCTTGTAAATGATTTATGGGAACGAGGATTATTAATCACATCAAAAAATATTATGACAAMACCTAACTAGTTTTTTGAAAGAAACTACTTAGACATATATATTAAAATTTTTGTTAGAAATAATACTTAACTTATAATTAACAATGCATTTAATAAAAGTAATATATTATGATATTTTATACATTTTGTAAATGCTTATTCTTGGCAATCACATATTCACTGTAGCTGAGAAATCCATCATAGTTTGTATCATCATCATATAGTATTTGATCAACTAAATCTAATAAAAAATTTARTATGTCTTACATTATGTAACTAAACAAATACTTTACCTGTATAATTTTCTAAATTTGATATTTTTGGTTCTGTATCTCCATAATTGTCCATGTTATGAGCAAAYGCTGACATTAATTCTAATCCATCAAGCATTGTGTTTTTATCATAGTCATGAGCACTATAAAATTAGTTAATTGTGTAATTAATTGTATTCAAAATGTTTATCATTAGTATATGTTACTTACATGAAATATCTAAATTCTAATTCTTCATCTGTTAAATTAGTTTCATCTATGTCGGGAAGTCCAAGATCCTCTTCAATATGTCTATTTCATTTTTAAAACATAATTTTGTTAAAAATAGAGACAACACAATATACTTATATGAAAAAATGTAAAAAGGTTATTTGAGATTTTTAACTTCTTAATTTGTATATTTATTATTATCAACAAAATGCTTTATACATGTTTAGGAACTTACTCCATACACAGAATATATTACAAAACTATTTGTATATAAATTAACAAATTATAATATAAACATAAGGTTCAAAGTATTATCTATGTTTATTATTCTTACTATTTTAATTTCAGAACTTGGATGAATAAAAATTAATCATAAAATGTCTGAAAATTAATTTTGTATCTTTTAAGACGTGTATGACAAATTGTTTCTATAATTTATTTTTGTTTATTATTCGTCGCTCAAATTTTTAATTTGYTATGTTCTGTTATAATTTTGTTATCTAATCTTATAAAAATTAACAATATAAATGAGAAGATGAGAAAAATGCATTATGTTCTCTCCATTTCAAGATTAATTTTGCTGTCACTTGAGTAAAAATTGTAAAAATTTCATAAACCTGTTTGACATCCTCGTCACCTTTCACACTCCATGTAATAACATGTTTTCAAATCTAAATTCATTTATTTATTTTATTAACTATATTTCAGTAGTGGCCATAACGAGCCTTATGTGGCTTTTGAAACCAAGCTTAGAGTAAAATTAATTCATATAATATAAAAAGTACTTCTCAAAAGTAAAATCCCACTTCTYAATGTGTAACTACCTGAACAATAATGCTCTGTATAGTGTAAATAATGAAAGTTCCTTTACTTATTATAAAATTAAAAATGTGTTTTCATTTTATAAACATACCTACCCACCTTAACAATGTGGCTCACTTTGAAATAGATTTATAAATTTGCGGCTCCCAWAATTAAAGTTAGGGCCCACACCTGCTATATTTCAATATAAATAATACAAGTAAAGGGATACATAGGTATATTTGTTTTCAATTTAATTAATTTACAGTATTTTAAACTGAATTTTGTTTGAGGTAAATATAACTTTAAACTGACAACTCATAATTAGRYTAGTAGTATTAAATACATAAAGAGTGCATTTTTTGTCATAGATAATTCAATCTGTATCTATGTATTCTGTTAAACCCACGAGTTAAGATAATATCTTAGGTTGCGGTAATCAGCCAATAAAAGATAACTAACATTTTAATTTCCCGTTTTTCTTTTCAAATATTACTGAAATACTTTTTTTTATATAGGTATTACAATTTCTGCTAGTTTTGTTAAATACAAAATATTTCAAATTTGTTTAATTATAATCCGTGTAATGTTTTATAWACAAGTATATGCGAGGTCTAATGGACTGTACGTCGGTAAAAATACTGTCTACTAACTATGTTACAAATGTACACGTTGGTCGTTGGCAGTTAAGGGCACATATTATAGGTATTTATGTATAATATTATTGAGTAAATAATATCAAAGGATATAACAAATTTTCCAAGAACCAAAAGAAATTGTTTTATTTGTTATTTAAAATTCAGTGTCAGTAAATAAAAACCAGTTGAAAAAAAATAATAATTTWTACTTAAGTATGGGATTTTTTATGCAGTGGCGGTCCTACGGGGGGATGGGTGGATCGCCCACCTTGGTTAAATATAAAATATAAAATTATTACATGTAATAAATTTTTTTAAGGCTTCTATTTTTGAATAGGTACTTATTGTATTTAATGTGAAAAATATTTCGCCCCCCCTCCCCTGGAATTGGTCAAGGGCCGCCACTGTTTTTATGCTGTACCTAGTATCTAAGTATTATAGTATAAGGTATCTTCCGTGTATCTGAATATCTCAGATAAGCGTATACTTTATGTCTATATAATTATGTAAATGTAACCATGCAGTGGTTTTGTAATGATTGACTGATTGTGACCGTCTGAATGAGTTATGATTAGGGCTTGGATTTTTAAACGAAAAATACTGTTGCACAGAACATTTCAAAAATATGCAAAAACTACATAGGTACCTATGCATAAAAAAATATGAAAATATTAAAGTTTTTAAAGATTTATAGGATGATATCAAGGTACAAATTTTTAATTATTGTTACTAATTTATAATGAACAATAACACAATATAAATTGAACTATTTAATAAAACATTTTAAATTAAGTATTGATGACATTCAGGAAATATTATTATAAATGTATCCAGCCAATAGTTCKATTAAATGCTCTAAAAAGGTCAATGGCTAGTTTGTGGAGGACATGTGTGCCCGCACATCGTACACGAAAAACTCTTATGTCTCGTGTGCTGCACAATCGTCACAAAACATGAATATATTTGATTGTTGTGTGGGCACCTATATTGTGTCGTAAGTATATATGTTATAATACGTGTGATATATTTTATACTCGTCGTCGTCACTGACCTCTTGTCATGTAGTATCGGTTTGTCTTGAGTGAACTTGGTGTCGCCCATGGGCTTGGGGTGTTGGTGCTCGTGGTGGTGGTTCACGATTCTCGGTTCACCAGACACGGCGGCCCTCGGATGGTGTGGACCCCGTTGGAACCCGACGGCGATGCCCAGCAGCAACAGTTCGACCAGCACCGTTCCTCTCATGTTATATTATACAGTGCGAGTTTATCCCTTCGCCCCCGCATCCACCGACTCCACGTCCTCGTCGTCTCCTCTTCCTGTGTGTATACGACGGGGCATTTTTTTTTTTATTTCTATTTTATTTCATTTCATTATCCGCTTAACGGAATAATGTTTTCGCGCGCGACAGATGCGCTGCAGTTCGGTCTCGCCGACCGCGCCCCGCACGTACACGAGCCAGCGATCTGCAAATTCGATTTACTCGGCTCGCGCACCACGGTTATTTCACGGCCGACGTGAACCCAGCGTGGTCCGATCACCACTCGTCTCCAGTGGAGTCGATGACGAAAATGTTAAATCCAATAATCGGCGGGGGCCCATGTCCTGCCAGCACTTTGAGGAAAAAAAAACCCTTTTACCTTCCTCACCCTCACTCTATATTATATACTATACCTACCACTCTACTAGTATATTGGGCTTATTACTTTTATGATTATATAATATTGACATGTATTGTTATGTGTGGCTTATTTGTATAAATGCGATGCTTATAAGTTTTAATATATAATATGATCTAGCTATTATGTAATAGGTAGGTTAGGTATACGAGTTTAAGTGCGTGCAGTAATATACTAATATAGAATGAACCGATGAGGCGACTATAGCTAGGTCTAGGTATATTATATGCAAGACTTTACCTAATAAGAACTTAATATTATGTTTAACTCTTTTTTGTTTTAAAATAATCGATATTCAACATTTTTTAACATTTTTTTTTGTGTAATATTGGTAATATAGGAATGGTATAATTATTTAAAAGAAAAAGTAACTTTTTTTTTTAGAATTATTGATCAGAAAAAAAGTTYTAATAAATTACTTTCATATTAAGTGAATTTAATTTGTCAGTTATTTGTACCATAAATAATACAGTATAAATAAGGTAAACGATATGTTTTATTTTCCATTTATTGCAGGTATTCTATGCCGTGTTGGTAAAAAGTAAAGCGCGTAAAGGTTTTCKTTCGAAAAAATTAAAAACTTTAAGTTATAGGTATTGAAAYAGAATATACCTGCATATTATACATGAGTACAACGTTTACATTTTGTATGAAATTCTTGATGATATTCTACGTWGGTGATGATCGTTCTTTTAAATAAATTTTTTGCCGAGTTCTTGTGGTCCAATCTTTTTGTTTTCACTTAGGAATGTGTGTGATTTACCTATTACCATTTATTATATTTTAGATTTCAAACTGAGTAATAAATGTATGCTGTGAGTAGTTTTTTTTATGTCCGTCATCAGCTTTTGGAGTAATAAAAATTATTTTATGATCTCCTATATACTTTGGCATCTAGCTTTTTTTATAGAAAGTGAATCAATAGTTGGTATCTACWTTRGGAATCAAAAGTAAAAAAATCCCAGTAGTTTTCAAAAGTGTTGAGAAAAACTAAAAAAACATCAAGATAAAACGTGAATTTTTACTAGTAGGTATACTATATAAGCAGTTTCCAGTTCTTCAAAAACAAATAAYTGTATATACCTATAGGTACTTTGAATTTCCACAAAATATTTTTAAGTGAACACTTTCCATACGAGATTATCATTCAAAACATTTTTACCTTTTTTGAGCTATTTGTAGACA